TGAATGTCAAAAACATGGTGTAAAAACCTACAGCAACTACCACCTAAAGTGACTCCCTTTAAAAGCTCAAATTTTGATTTAAGAAAACAGCTTCACAATTACTCTCTACAACTTTTCACAAGGAAATGCATATATCAAACAAAACTAAGATCAAAACTTAGATGTGCACTCAACTTCAATATAAAAACAGGAACTTTAACAGACGCTGCATGCATTTGTGTGCGTGCATATCAGTAAAAGAAGGACATTTATGAACAAATTGATAAATTCTAAGGAACAATACCGTGCCTGCAAGCGAATGGAAGGGTAATATTCTGGGATTTAGCAGTGTGCAATATGTACTGGTCCTGCATTTCAATCAGATGACTCATATATATCACTCTGTTCACTGAAATTCAACAACCTGAATTCGATTAAAACACAATGAATTTAACTACTCATCTCTAAAGCAAACAACAAAGTTCCACAAAATTTAAAATTTATCTCCTTTTCTTTCCCTCTACTTTCCCAGCATCCAAACAAAACGTTAACAAGATATGATATTCAACTAAAAATAACAAACTAATTTTAGAATAACTGAGAGGAAACAAACAGAATCCAATTCGCACCTCGGGCACAAGGAATTCGTGAACAACACCCCGTTGTCTGTCATGAACTCTGACCTTGTGCGTCGAAATCGAAGCAGGTTGAGTGCCAGCTCGATCGGTAACACCCACCGATGCACGGAGCCACGACCTCGTTATGCGGGGACATTTCAGGCAATTAGAGTGGTAAAGGCTCCGTCTTGGAGATGAAACTTGCCGGTAAAGTGGCGCCATCCGGTAAAACGAAGTGCCGGAGTTGCAGGGGACAAAGAGCTCCATTGATACCATTCTTAGAAGCTGTCAGCTGATCACTTCTTGGCGGTGAGGGGATAACATGAACCAATGTAATAAAGGGTTTCAATAAAATACATCCGTTCGCACTCAAGTTTCCAGATCAGCGAGTCTGTGGCCGTCAGATCGATTTTTTTGCTTTTGATGATAGGATTAAACCAGCTTGGGTGTCCAACGTGGTAGCAAATCCAAGCTGTGGAACTGCATGGGCAACGCGTGGCGGGTGACATTCAGGTGGCATGTAACCTTCTCTGATAATGGTATATTTAATGTTGGTGAAGATAATTCTTACATTCATCAATAATAATCAGAAGAAAAATGCAGTCTGCTAAGGAGAAGATCAGCAACATGGCCAGTGCTGCCAGGGAGCATGTTAACATATGCATGGCCAACATTGAAGAAAAGGTGGGTTTTTTTTTTTCTTTTTTTTTTTTTTGAAATTCAATCTTGTTTTGTGTATTTTTTTGGCTAGCATGGAGGATAATTTGAAGGGGTAAAATGGTGGTGTTACAGGCGGAGAAGGCAACAGCCAGGACGGAGGAGGAGAAACAGATGGCGCATGAGAGAAGAAAAGCCAAGGAGGCTCAAGCAAAGATGGAGTTGCATGAAGCCAAAGCTAGACATGCTAAGGATAAGCTGAGGGCAAAGGTTTCCCGTCATTTCCCCCGCCATGACCATGGGCCACCACTCGTGGCGGCTCACCATGGCTACAACGAGCCTGTAGTTGGACAACATGGACACCGCCCAGTTGGGACTGCCGTTCCCATAGCTGGAACTGGTGTTCCCATGGCTGGAACTGCTGTTCCCATGGCTGGAACTGCTGTTCCTTCATATCCTCTGGGAGGGAACCCAACGCCACCTGGATATATGAGGCATCACCAAAGCTAAACAATCCTGCTTGCCCAGTATCAGTGTTCTAGTTTTTATCTAGTTGTGTCTGTAGTTTCCTTACGGTATGGAGAATAAAAATGCTTTTTGCTCACTCCTAAACATGACTGATATAAGATCACTCATATACAGATTTAAGTAGGAAAAAAGTTACAATCAATCAAGTAACGTATGAACCATGAATGGTACAGTCAAAATCCTCTTTACAACAGGGAACTATAAACCATACAGAAGTTAGAGCAGTGGCAAGAAACACATCAAAACCAAAGAATCAAGTTGACAACACAATTTTGCTATAGACTATCATGAGTCTCATCATCTAACATACCCACCGCAATCTGCTAAGGAGAAGCTGAAATGTTTGCTACCCATTGCAACCTACCTTGGTACTCTACTCCCACACTTTGCTGGATTTTCCCATTATGGGACAGTACTTGGTACTCCACACACTGCTGGATTTTCCCATCATGGGTTAGACTAACACGAGTGTCATCATCCATTATACCCACTGCAACCTACCTTGGTACTCCACACTCTGCTGGATTTTCCCATCTTGGGATAGTACTTGGTTTCTCACTTTAGCTGGTCTGGTACTGTACTTTATTTGAAACTTCGGTAATGACCTCTGCTCATCTTCTGCACTAACTGATGTTTCTTGCAAGACCTCATCAAGGAACTCATCTGCCACATCTCCATCTTCATCTATCTTAAGACGCTTTGCATACCATCTCAGACCCTGAATTCAAGAGAGTCAATATACATTCAACAGAATCGTGACATGACCAAAATCCATTATAGCACATTCCTGTCTAATTAGGACTTACACGTTTCCTCCCAGAACTCATAAACAAAATAGGAAGTGAGTTAGACAAGAAAGAAGTAACTTGGACAAACACTAAAAGTTATAAACATCAGAATTTAAAGCATGAACTATAAAGGAATATTAAACAATTTTCTTAAATTAGCCTCCTTGCAGCAAAACAACATTACCAATGTCTGATTAAACCAAAACATCCACCAGGCATATATAGTTGTATTATAAATTTTAATTTTAATTGACAACAGCCTTGACTAAGAGGTCCGGTAGCAACACTAGACAATTCTACTAGTGATACACATTCACCAAAACCTCACAGGCAGCAACAACACAACCATTGTAAAGAAAAAGAGAAGGGCATAACAGCATCACAAAATTAGAATCCAAAATAGTAAAAATAAAGTTAGGAAAGAATTGGAGATTGTAAATACACAGAGGAACTATTAATTACGAAAGACAGAAGGACTCCCAAGTCATCCATTTGAAGTGTATAATAAAAGAGTAACAACCATAACATGTTGACATGTGACTCACAACAAAGAGGAAAGGCATGATCAAGCAAGAAACTGCCTCAGATACGCACCAAATCAAGCCATAGATTCAACACAAAGAGTATGATTCACTGAATAACAATCACAACATGATTTAGTCTTTAGGATTAAGCACTGACTAGTTACCATGTATTTATGATTCATCACCAAAGAGGACGGGCAAGACCAAGCAAGAACCAACTTCAAAATTGGATGCATGCCAAAATAAACTTTAGATTCAATGCATTCTAATTTCTTCATTTCAGCTTCACATTCAGTTATCCACCCAGCAAAATATGCAAGAAAATATCAACTTACAATGCTCTCTAAAAGACACATAAAGCCAGATGTGAACTACAAATTGAACAGCCACGAAGCTTTAGGGCCCAAATGACAACATAAAATCTATTTTTCAAGCAATGAATAAAGGATGGAGATACATTACAAACATCTATAAGAGCCAGTTCCAAAAGAAATCTCCCAGTATAAGTACACTACTTATGCTCCTAAGTCAATTACCCAAAATAGGACAGAAAATTGCCATTCCATATTCCAATTAATATTAATAATCCCATCTTTTTTCTTTTTTCTTTTTTTCAATTGTTCAAAATGAGGGAGACTATTAAAAAAATTAAAGGCGGAAAAGGAATTTGACTAGCAATAAATCACTAAACCAAGCATTCATATACCACATAAATTTCCTTTCCATGAAAAACCTATGAATGAGCTTCAATATACGAATGAAAAAGAAAGCATGAAACAATCAAAAATTAAATTTGCTGAAAAATGTTTAAGATGAAATTGAGAAAATCCAATTTCAAATAAAAAAACTAACTTTAACCTGGCAATGGCAAAATATCAAGAGCCTAACAGCCAATTATTGCTGAAAATATTAAAAGAACAAAATTGTAAAGAAATCCAAAAAACGAAAGAAAGGAGAATTGAGAGAGATAAGAAGCGGACCTGCACACCGCCGCCACCGGAAGTACAAGGGACAATGACGGGTCCAGATTGGGAACGGTCCACGGCGACCTGGACAGGGACGCTGAAGCCCTTCCGAGGCAACCCGGTTTCGTGAAAAACCCGAGGCTTGTTGGCCTGCTGATTATGATTGTTGTTGGTGGCGGAGGAAGCGGCGTTATCTTCTTCGTCTTCCTGGTCTTTCACATCGTGCCCATCGTCCCTGGTAAGCCCCAAGAACCCCGCTATTCTCCTAAAGAATCGCATAATTAAGATCTATATATCAACCGATCGATCAGTAAATTGAAGATTCGGAGGGATACGGTCAATCCTCCGACGGGTCCTGAGGAGTAGAGGAGAGGGTTAGCTTAGATCGGAGAAATGTCGACGGAGGAGAAGGAAGCAGGCGAGAAACTCAACTATACTTCTCCGGAAAATGGAATTTTAATCTGCAATTAACGAGCCACCAAAACGAAGCGTTCTGACTTTTAACCGCGCGATATTTTATATTATGAAAAGTTTGGATCGATTTTAAGGAAAAAAATGTGCAATTAAGGTTGTTAATTTTAATTTTTTTAATTTAGGTATATTAATTTTTTAAATAAAAATATTAATTTTTAATTTTTCATATTTAAAAATTAATTAAATAATAATATTAACATGATAAATGTTTTTTTTTTTTTGAACAAATTCATAAGAGATCGAATTCAAATCTTTGTTTTGAAGTGAGAGAATGCACTTATACATGATTTGATATCACTAGGCCTTCGGCACAAGTGCGATAAATGTATTTTTAAAAAAACATTAGTATTTTGGGGTAAAGATATTAATAACCGTAGAGCTTTTAGCTTGGCCAATTCAATGATTTTTTTTTTTTATCCTTTTTTGTTTGCTTCAATTCTGCATGTAAGTTCATTTGTTCACCTTACAATGTAGGACAGACAGATGCATAGACAGGGCAGTAAATTACATTTGGCTCAATCTAAATAAGGTTTGTACCTTTTATTGTGATTTTTCATTTTTTATCCTCTCCGCTTCCTTCTTAATAATCTAAATGAGCCAGATGGGTCTTTTGATCCAAAGCAT